AATGTTAGTGCTGCTGATAAGAGCAGACAGCACTACCACCGGAGGAGAGGCTCCATCTATTGGTGGGGAGCATCACCTGCTGGAAATCGGGTCCACCGTCCCATTACACATGAAAAGAATGATTTGGAATATTCTGGCCGTGTGCGAATGGCCGTGGTTCCTGCCAGCATTGATTGCCCTGCAAAATTAGGGGATTGACTGAGCAGGCTTATGTGCAAAACCAGAAGCATCTATGAGTTGTCTGCCAGCATTGATTGCCCTGCTGAGCAGGGGATTAACTGAGCAGACCCGTGTGGGTTTGGAAAACTGACGTTGCCTTTGTATCACTTCACCCTCAGAAGGGAGGGCGCCAGATTGGACTTTTCAGGACTGATACTGTCACCAGCTGCCTGCCCCAACACCCGCCTGCTTACTGCCAATGCCGGCTGTTCCCGTGGATGTACTTGCTCCCCCTCCCGCCTGCTGACTGTCAGACCACAATAATTGTGATATGGCGGTGCATCTTTTTTTTACAACTTGAATGCTCTGTCTTCTTCCCCCGAGTACAACGTAGGGTCATTATAGCTGAATTTAGTCTGAGTGACAGCCCAGATACAGCTATAATGATCGTACGTTGCATTCAGGGGAAGAAGGTAGAGGGAGATTCATTCTCATTTAGCACATTGTGCCGTTTGCCCGATCCTTGTGCCTTGCTGCTTCCTTCTGCTACGAATCCCCACCTCCGTACCACTGCTCCCCCACCATAGCCAGAGCTGGTGGTGGGAAGGGGTCGGGGAAGTCCGAAGCAGGGCGCCAAGGGATGTCCTGTTGAATATCTGTCCATTCTTGAAAACGAAGCTGGTAGTTCCTGCCATTTTGTCCCACCATTTCCCCCCCTCCCTCTCCTTCCCCTTCCCCTCCCCATCGAATATTTGCAATGGGCTTCCCCTGGGTCCCCCCCAGCCAATCCTTGCAAAATTGTTGAATGTGCTTCTTGATTTCTGTTATAGTACGTAGGGTTACTAATTTTTCTTTTACTTTTTCCCATTGGATAGTAATTTCAGCTTCCACATACAGTCTTACTTCTTCCTTTAAGATTCGGCCATCCAGTCTTACTGCCTCCATTTCATAAACACAACGTCTTCTCCATAGTGCCCAGAGCATCGCCCGCCTCCCAATTTTAAACATGTTTTCTGCGAAGGATGTAGCCTGTTCCGGGTGCCATGTTTCGCACAGTATTGCCTTCCAATCCCATGGCCGCGTTGTTGTGGTGCCCATCTGTCTCCAAACCCTGTCCCACCATCTCCATAGCCATATTGACCCCGGACACTGCAGGAAGATATGCTCGATTGTTTCTGGTCGACATCTTGGTGGAAAAGTCGATGAGCAAAGTTTGCACCACGGCAAGGCTAGCCCTCGTTGTTCCAGGGTTGTTCCATCAATCAGCCAGTCGTTTGTGGGTAGGCAACGGTGTTCAATTTGCCATTGTAGTGACGCCACTTTCACCGGGGAGGCCCTACTTAGTCTAAACCATCTTATTGAGCGAAGGGCATCTTTTCCCACATTTAGGTGTCTCATCCACCTATCCTCTACTATGCCTTTCAAGGTTCTTTTGGGGCGCAACAGTCTATAAGCTGATTTGACTGACAGTGTGTGTAGTTGTCGCTGCCCTTGCTTTCCTTTACTCATGGTTAGTGTCCAGGTCCAGTTTGTCGGGTAAAAACCAAGGTGTGAGATCGGGGTGGTTGATTTGTATGCCAGCCATCCATCTCTTTCTTTTAAGACCCGGATTCTGTATAATTCTGATTTTTTATGCCATTGTACCTTGTCTCCTTCCATCCTCATAAGCCGGTCATCTGAGGCCCTATGGAAAAGGTTGACTAATATTTCTCCCCCCCCTTCTCGTAATGACCGTGTGTCCACTACATTTCCCACTACCCCCTCTTGGTCCTTTATGCCCACCCAATCGCTTTCTTCCAGCGTCGGTCCCTTCTTGAGAATGCGCACCCAGTCTAGGGGGACAGCAAAGACGATTGCATCCAATGCTTCCCCTACATTGTGACAGTATCTCAGTTTTTCCCGTAACTTAGGTCCGGATACCCAGTCTCCCCGCTCTTGATCCCAGATATGCCCTACTCTTAGGACACCGTTTTTGGTCCATCCCTTCCAGGGGGAATCCGTGCACCGTAGCACCCTACTGTTAGAGTCTGTTATCCACCGGTTGTCGAAGAGGGGTTGTCTATAAACTTCCTCCCAGCGCAGTAGTGACACTTTATCCCGGGGGGGGAGTTTCCTCCACGTTTTTATAAGGGAAGTCCAGAAGGCATCATTTTTTAGGTCCCTTTTGGCTGCTTGCCTGTCCGTATCGGGTTCATCGTCTCTGTCAGGTGATGGTCTAGGAACAGGCCAATATTGATCTTCTAGCCAAGACGTCGGGTCTGTGTCCAGGGGGGCCACCGGGGCTAGTCTGGACATCTGTTGTAGTGCCAGTGTTGTCCAGGGGGTCTGTGGGTTGAGGAGTAAGTGTTTAATCCACTGCAAGGCTAGGGCCATCATCTGGCTAGATGGGTCTATGATCCCCAACCCTCCTTTGGTTTTTGGTTGGATTACCGTGTGCCAGGTCACTCTGCTAATGACGTTAGGACATTCATGGTTCCCCCTCCACAGGAATGCCGCCACCTGTCGCTGGAGGGTGGTCGTGGCCGATTTCTTGAGTGACCAGAGTTGTTTTATACCATAATGAGGCTAGTGCTACATTATTGATGACCAAGGCCCGTCCTATCAGCGAAGTTTTGCTATCCTTCCAACTGTTCAGCTTTCCAAGGACCGGCTGCAGCAGCCATTCATCGTTGGAGGGCGGTTGCCCTTCTGCCAATAGTTTAACACCCAACACAGTGATCGGGGCTTCTTTCGGCAGCCATCTAATCCGCGGAGATTCCGGCGGTCGGGCCTGCAGTGTGCCCGAAGTCGAAGTGGGCAGAGAAGCGTAGTATAGCGATAGGGTAGAGGCAGCTAGCGATAGGGTAGAGGCAGCTATAGTAACGTGTGTGTGTGTTGTGTGAGTGTGCAGAGTGTCGTGTGTGGGATATCCAGGGTGATCCGAAGTGTGTGAACAGTGGGTTGTTGGGCGCTCAGTCGCCATAGCCAGTGGAAGTGAACTCTTACCTGGAAGCCATATCTCTGAGTACTGTGTGGGCGCATGTCGCCAGTTTGTTGTGCTGCTGTTCACGTGCATGAAAAGTGTGAATAAGTCGAGTCTAATTGCATTGGTATCGGAGCAGGTTCCCGCTATTCCATACGAGAAGTCGTGTGCAGGGTTGAGGCGCCGTAGCAGAGGTGGCCGCTGAAGGTGACATCCCGCCATAGCGGACCTGAGGAGGAAGAAGCCGCCGTGCACCTGCAAGGAGACCGCGACGAAGAAGAAGAC